ATATCAAAAAAGTACTCCAGAGTGTTGTTCAGCATGGGGGTGAGTAGAAAATGAAGGCTAATCATGTTTTGGGTGTACTATTCCTTTAAGGTCTGGTACATTGGGACTTGTTGGGAGGGATTGGATTCATCATTACATCACCAGCAGCAACAGATATTCATTTATTTTACAAACTTATATTCATCTGATTAAGTTTCTTGATATCTGAAAGACAAGAGCTCGATTAAGATCAGGACATATTGTCTCATCTCTGGTCAGTGAGAAACGCCTCTGCAGCAGCATTAGAAGATACCCAAACACTCACCCATGGCTCTACTCGCCCGCATCAGGACCTCCCCCACCTTCAGCCGAGTCTCCAGAGAGCGCTCCTTGTTTGAGGACGGGAGCGACGGGCCATGCTGAAAATCTTTCAGGAGCCTCTCAAGGATCCGACCGGGGTAGGAATCCACGACAACAGCCAGACCTGAAAACAGTTTGGCCTCCAACAATCAGAGCTTTAATCACTATGAATATTATCTGCATCAGAGCTGATCATCACCTTGAATGGCTGACAGGTAGACAAATGAGTCTTCATGCTCCAGGTTTTCCAGGAAGAGCTGGAAAGAAGACAGAGAGAAAGGAAATTATGCAGTCCACCAACAGATGTTAGAAACAGACATCAGAGAGAATAATACAGATGGAGATGATGGATCTAAGGAGGATGGACTGTGTGGAGAATCCCAGGCTATACCAGAAAAAAAAAATCAATATTAGGCGTATCAGTAGCATCAGCAGGGGTTTTGGATTAAAAGGAATCCCAAATAAGGGTCTTTTTTCTCAACAACACCACCCTAACGAGCTCCCAGGAGAGCAGCGGTTGGAAGGAGGTCTGACTGGTTTATCCATCATAAATATCCCATGGGTGAAGATAAAACCAGAAACCTGCCTCCGCTCAGGTTAAGACTATGAAGCAAAAGCAAACAAAACAACACAAAAAAACTCAAGGAAAAAACTCTTGAATCCTGAAAAAAATCCTGGATCCAAAAGCTGCACAATGAACTCCAGCTTTTTCATGAAGCTGTTCTTTAGACATCTTAAAAACCATCAAATGAACCAGTTAAAAAATGCGACACCGGATGATTTTATTCAGAACCCAAACTTTCCAACACCCGTCTTCACAGACATAAAAACAATTGCTATATGGCCGAACGTTATCTACTGTTGAATGTCCAACTCAACCCGTCGCCTCTTGCAGAAAGCTTTGGCGTCTTACCAATCTGGCTTAATGCAGTGTCTCTGCTAAGCAGTGAGTGAATGCATACCAGCTGTAATGTGGTTTCCAACCCAATATTTTACACCAGCCGTACTTTAAAATGGTAATGTTGCAGTTGTGATATCAGAAACAGGTCATAGATGCAATGTTTCATGCAGAGGGAGCATAAAGGCTTCAGGTTTTCATAGTTTTAATACATAAATACTTAAATTATTTA